CAAGGTGATAGATAGTTCAGTGCTCCATGCCAACCGGGTTCTGCCCAACCACACACACCCGCTTGACCATGTTGTACGTCTCGCCGGCGAATCATGTCTGGACTACAAACAGTCTCCCCTCTCGGCATATCACCGATCCTCCATCCCGACAAATTCTTTTGAAACCAAAACATCCCAAATCAAACACTTGCCAAGGTGAATTTGAACTTTTTGATACTCTATCCTGGTATCTCTCCGAGTTTCTGCGACTGCTGTTTCCGCAGCTCGGTAGCTCTCAAAAGCGTTGCCTGCTGCCACAACACACCTGACTTAACAAACCATCTTGGCGGACACGGACGGACACGCCTGGCATACGGTTTCGTTGCAACTACGTACAATACGAGCTCTAGAAGAATATTCCACGAGAACAACCGCCATTTATCACCATGAACCCTCATCAGAAGAACAAAGTCGACGTCAAGGTAAGCATCAGTCGAGCCATCCCACAATTGCCATGCTACTCCTGACCGGTGCTGCCATGTTTCATCGTCACCCCGCTCTCCTGCACAACATGACGTTTTCTTCAAATCGCACAACACGTCATGGCTTGCAGAAGGCCTTGGGCCTGCCTTGCGAGTTCCTTTGTATCCTTGGAGTCAACTGCTAACGGATAATTTAACCCAAGTCGCTCTCTCCTGAGGAACAGCGCCTCTTCCGGCTGTACGGCAAACTACCCTCCCGATCCGATCACTTCGCGAAGCACCTCAAGGACCGCAAATACTTCGACTCTGGCGACTACGCCATGTCCAAGGCTGGCAAAGGCGATGGCGTTGATGCCGGTGCGGTTGGCTCTCAACACCCCGTCCCCGAAAACATCCCCCACCTTTCGTCACCCATCAATAATGGAGCGAGCATTCCAAAGCACGGTCACCATGGTTCCATCGCCGGCATCCAAGCGGGCAGTCCGGTCAAGGAGAGTAGCTTCCTGCATCGTGAGACCAGTGCAGAAGACGCCTCCACAGGAGATGATTCAATCCCTTCCAACCATAAAGAGAACGTATCTATTACCTCTGCACCGCTGCAGTCCAACGAGGGTATTCCGATTCGCCGATAGTTCATGAACAAGAGATAGTCACACAACTTACGAAGAGAGCATGAGGGGGAGGTGTACGTAACATGAAGCTGTTATACTTTTACGCAGTGCCACGTCTGAGACGACACGACTAGCCATTTCTTGTCCTTTCTTTTTCTTTTCTTTTTCTTTTTCTTTTTCTTTTTTTTTTTTTGTCCATTACTAGCTATCTTGCTGTTGGTTTTGCGCATATAGGTTGGCAAAGTTGGCGTTGGGTTATGGCACTGGTGCTAACCGCCGGATTTCGCTTCTATTCATGAGGATATCAAGAGAGAAAAAAAGTTGAAAATCCCGACTATTGAACTACCCCGTTTTGCCTGCCTTGACTATATGGAAGTGTTCGAATATCTGTCAAACCGTTTGATATGTATGCTGTCTGTTGTTGCGTTTCAAGGGCTATACTTTGTTTGTCACAGAGGGAACATCAATGGGCTGTGGTAAAATTGTTTCGATGTAGGGGAGGGAAAAAAAAAAGGGGGGGGGGGGCTTGAACTCCGGTATCCAGGCATGACCTGTATTTCTCAATCTGAACTCAAACTTAGGTCTCGGCGTACATCGAGATCAGGGTTGTCGGCACACGGCACGGTCATTCACTTTCCAACTTGGGCTATATCTGGTCACAAGTATGTATGTGTTAGTACGAGTTTATGAATCAGATTTCGGTCGAATTTCGAATGCTGTGTGTCCATGTATTACGACCGAGGTTTTTTTCTTTCCTTCCTTTTTCTTCAGTATCCCGAGGCGAAATTCTACGCCAGAGCCTTAACAGCCATCTCCTTGACACCTTCAAATGTCTTGTTGCCACCAATGAAGCCGGCGGCGTGGACAAATACACAGCCCTCAATGCCTGAAATACCGTCCAGCTCTTGGTCGCGGAAGCCTCTCCACGCCTCGGGCAGGGGCTTACGACTCAAAAAACTATCCTTTGACTCGGGCACACACTGAATCCTCCACTTGGCGCCCGGGGCAGTCGACTCTGGGTACAAGACGTATAGAACCGTGGGCTTGCCATCCTCCAAAGTGTACAGGTGGTCCTTCCACGGCACGCTCTGTCCCTCGAACACGAGCACCCTCCCCTCGGGATCGAACTCGGACCTCTTGTTGAACGCTTCCTGGACGATGGACCGAGCCGGCAGCCAGGCCGTGGCGTAGTAGTCCAGGTCGCGCTCAAACTCCTCCCCGATGCGCTCACTCGCCTTGTTGAACCGGTCGTCCTCGGCGGCCTGGGCCTCGACGGGATCGCTGGGCTTCTCGTCGTTCCAGTTGGGATTCAGCCGCCCCACGACGGCGCCCAGGGTGAAGCCGCCCTCGCTGTAGCGCTTCTCCAGCCCCGCGGCGGAAAGGCCGGCCGGGTCGTAGACGCTGATGCCGTTGTCGTGCGCGTCCAGCGCCTCGACGAAGCTCTCGTACAGCTTGTTGTGCAGCAGCTCGACCTCGGGGGCGTCCTCGGCGACGCCGGCGCCCAGCCTCTGCGCGACAATGGCCCTGCCAAAGTGCTTGAAGACGAGCCCCGCGCTGGAGAGCTTGGTGCTGCGGCCGGGAAAGGTGGTGGTGAAGCCGCGCTGGTGGTGGTCGTAGCGGTTGCGCTGGGCGTCGTATTCGCCGCCGACGTCGACGACAGTGTGGCAGGCTGCGAGGAGCTCCGGGTCGCGCGTGCGGACGAGCGGCGAGTCGCGGTAGGTTGGGAGCATGCGCAGCATGTGCACTGCCAGCGCTTCGTCGGCGTGGAAGTGCCCGTTGTGGGTGCCGATCTTGGGGCCGGTTTTGCGGCGTTTGGGGGCGAACTCGGTCATGGTTTTGAGGAGGCGACGGAACATAGACTAGTTGCTGGTAATTGGTGTTTTTTCCCCCTCCCTTTTCTCTTCTAGCCTATTGGAGAGGTAGGCAGGGCGTTGGCCGTCGGGGTAAAGTCGCGAGATGAGGCTGGATGAAGTTTTGATGATGGGATGAGCTTGGGGGTGGGTTTGGAGCTTGGCTGCGGGGCCAATCAGGAGTCGGGGATTGGAAGGCAGTGATTGTTAGCTGTTGAGGTGTAGGTCTTGAAAGTTTGATATTTTTGAGAGCGTTTTAATTTTGTCTGTCTTATTTTCCTTTTTCACCATTTTTTTTTAAAATTACGCAGGACATTTCGAAGCACTTGGGTTGCAGCCCAGGATTTAATCTTAACGGCCTGGTTTAGAACCCTTGACCAATTCTCTCCCTTAAAGCCTTATCCTTTCACCTAGACTACAGTCTGGGGCAGAATATATGAAATTAAAAAAAAAAGGTATAGAATAGTAATTTAGTACATGTTATGATATACTATAATATATTATAGTATATAGCGTGATTTGATAGCTAGCCAGGTACCTGATCTGGTCAAATACCTTTTGCCCTGTTATATTCGCAACAGCCTAGTGTAACTCCATTCATCAATTCTCATCCGTCCACACTCATCCCCTCATCTCATCTATTTTCATTTCGCATCTTCTCTCCCAATACCACTCATGTCCATGTCATCTCCCTTGGTTGCCGGCTCTCTCAATCCCGACTCGGCACCCTTGTCGGTTCCAATGTGCGCCTCTGTTCGACCAGAACCAACGTTGACATTCCTCGCATCCGCAGACTGCCAGTCTGAAGCGGTGGGCGGCTGCTCGGGAAGAGGGAGGTTGGCTTGCACCTCGGCAATCTTGTCGGCCTTGGATTGGGGCATTTTGACTTCTTTATGAGTGTGTTTATGATGGCGTTTTGTCTAGACAGGCTATGCGTAAGTGTGGTGTTGTGAGTGCTGGTCTCGTGGGGTCTTACTGGTCGTTTCCGAATGATGCTCTCAGGACGGGTGATTGTTGGAACAAGAAAAGTCTCCTCTCATTTAGCGAATTGTTGTTTATATGTACATAGTTATATGTGGAGTCTTTGGTGGGAGGATATGACGAAATGGTTTCTTTTTTCTTTTTTTGCGCTCTATTACATGACAATTGTGACGTTTGCCTACAGTTTGCCCCCCGCTGACGTCAATGATGTGTGGTGTCTCCAGAGAATTGAAGCGGGTGTTTCCCCAGTGGCCGGAGGAGAGCTCCGGTAGGTCCACTGCTTGGTTGCGAGTGAGAACTAGAGATGTTGAATTGAGCATGAGATGTGTCTTGATTTGGCACATGGAGTTCAGTTTGAGGAGCGGCATTGTCTCGAAGCCTCGGAGCCGTGATATACTTTGGCAGAAGACTGAAGTGTTTAAAGACTGGCAAGTGAAGTGGTTTATTTCCAAGAGGGTGCTGAGTTGAAAGCCTTCAAAATGTATAGTGTGCATAACACCTGGAACAGTCGGTTTCTTGTGGAGGTAAACTCGGCGTACGTGAGGAGTTTGGTCGTACGGCTGAAAACCAGGAGTCTCTCTCCGGCCATGTTGGATGTGGTACCACTCCTTGTGTTCCCAGTTCTCGGGGATATTAAAACAAGGCCACTGTTTTGATAAGCTCTTCAAGTTACTGACTGGGAGAATAGGCTAGAGAGTCGCCCATGCTTCACTTGAATGGATTGCGAGAATTCACATTTGAAGATACGTACTGGAGTAACGACTCTTGGCTTCCTGGCCAGCGACCTTTTGGATTCATATATAGGCATGTGTTTCTGATCATGAACCTGTTGGTATATTCACTCGGCTAGCTACAAAATAACAGTATTTCCGGGCGACTCATAAACGACCAAGCTTCAACTATTGGCCCTAAACGGCGAGGAGGTCTTGAAATAGCCCTAGCTTGGGAACTTGAGATTTCGTACCTGTCGATCCCAAAACATTCTCGAATGACCGGTGTTATGGCAGAAAGGAAAAAATAAAAGTAGACGCGCTACACAATCTGTAAAATCCTTGAACAGCGAGTCCTAGTGGAAAGAGATGCTGTCCAACTGCGGCTCAAACATGCTTGACAATAACATGCGCACGCTCCAGCACGACAGGGTCCATATCACCATTCTCAGAGCTTTTGATCAATGCTCCGCAAATAGTGAATGCAACCCGACTGGATTCGTCACCTCCATTCAGCACTCCGTGGACCTCTACAGCGGCTTCGCAGTCGTGGACATTTGTCCCATCGCCATACCCTTCACAGGTGTAATTGTCCTTTGACTTGCGCATGAGGAAACGTAGTTCGTACGCCTCTTGACAAATATCATGAACATCATCATGGAGCTTTTGAAGCGTCACGGAGTCTAGACCTCGTCGGATGAGGCAAGCAAAATAGCCCATGATCATAGGCTCAACTTCGCTGGTACAATTATGGTCGACTTTGCTCTGTTCAATTGCCTTCATCGTGGCGTGTCTCCAATCCACAACGGCGTCAGCTGGCACTGAGAGTTATTTTAGCTATAGCACTGTACGTAGACTCTGGCAATTTACTAATAAAACTAACCCTTGCAAGAAGAAATGAATGCCTCCAGCGCTTGGAGTGAAGACTCAATTTGTTGAAGGTCATGATGATTGGTTGGACGGATGCCGAAGAGATTCTGCCCAAGGATATGGTCAACAACCAGTGTGAATATTCTCCCTCGCATTGCAAAAGCACGATCAGCAAGAGAGAGATGATTCCAAGTGTCCCAAAACTTGTGCAACTCATGGTGGCATGGTGAAGGGACGCTGACGTTCCACTCCAGACAAAAGGCTTTGCTATGAGCAAATGCTTGGATTTTCTGTCGGATGCTGGTAAATATTTTCTTTATCTCTTCATCTGAGATTTTCTCAGTTCCAGTCTGCTTAAGGATGACGTTTCTGAGCCTAGTTTTCTCTTCCTTCAGTTTGTCGACCTCATCCTGGCTTTCACAGTACATTCGTCGCAGTTTCTCGGCCTCATTACGAAGGGTCCAGTTCTTATCCTTATATCTGTTCAGCTGGTCTTGGAGACTACAGACTCGAGCTTCATAGTCGGCTTTTTGGCTTTTCAAACGATCCACCGTCTGTGTGCTTCATTAGCTGATTTCCCTGATTAAAAAGGCAAGCGTGGTTCGTGGACACATACTGCCTGAGAAGCGTCTTGTCTCTTGAACCAGCCAAAAACCTGGCCAAAATATGTATCCAGTTTTGATTCAAGATTATTGAAGCCTATTTCTACAGCCTCACCAGTAGAATCACATTCCTGGCCCTCTCTCTTTCCCAATGTGTCCGGGACGGAGGGATCGTTTTCGAAATGGTGGACTGCCATTGTCCTGTGAGCTAAGTCCGTGGCTGGTCAAAACATGTGTGTGAAGAATCGAGTAGAGTCTAACTAGGTAGTGTTAGAGGAAGGAAAGTAACTCTAGACAGGTGACTCATAAACAAGTGTAAAAGAAGCGAGTGCGGAGCCGAAAGATGTCAGGTCAAAGGTCGTTCAGATTATGCTCAGATTACGTTTAAATCTCAAAACATCACTTGACTACTATGCCAGTTGGCAGCCGCCAAGTTAGGGCATGAGCTAAGCTTGCTTAATGTCAATATTCATTGCCAGCTGCCAGCTGCCAGCTGTTTGCTATCAGCTGACCTGGTTCAACTGCTGCGCCGTTTATTCCACGTGCCAACGCGGTACTGCGTAAGACTATGTTTCTTCAAATAAAAATAAAACATCAAATTTTTCTCTCTCCCAGCGTCCCTGCAATCATCTTACTGGGATATCGCTTTCCCAAAAGCAAGAAAGTTTCTCCTATCTGGAGCACCAGCAATCCTCGTACTTCGGATGCAAGCTAACCCCCACAACTTCATTTTTGACGCCTCATACCATCAACCATGGTGAGAAAGCTCAAGGATGGGCAGATAACTAGCTCTGCGGTGTCAGAGTCAGATGAAAAGCTGGTAATATCTCTGGACTTCGGAACCACATACTCTGGCGTTGCATTTTGTTTTGCGAATCAGGACAACGCAAAGCCAGCGGCAATCATGGACTGGCCAGGTAAAATCTCTCGAGAACACGCACTATCAACTACCATTCTGACTCATTCCCACTTCAATCCATAGGAAATCATGGGATATCCGTACCAAAAATTCCTACCCTCATTGCCTATGACAAACAACAACCCGGTGTTTTCAAATGGGGAGCATCTGTTGAAGAACTCGACACTGGTATTATTGGTATCAAGCTCCTCCTTGACCCAGAGCAGGAGAGACCAATGTATCTGCCTTCCACAAATACTAAAAGAGACATAAGGATGCTTCCCAAGCAACCTGTGCAAGTCGCTGCAGATTTTATGAGAGCAATTTACAAGCATGCCTTGGACGAGATTTCCAAGACTGTGCCCAAGGCATATATGGATCTATGCTCCAAACAATTTGTGCTTTCTGGTAAGTAGCAATCACTCTTTACAAGGTAAAGGCAAGCATTTTCTGACTCTTTAAAGTCCCAGCTGTTTGGTCGGATGCTGCCAAAAATGCCACGCTGCTAGTAAGATGAGACTCTCCTGAACCGTGAGCCGTGATGGCAGATGTTAATGGTGTCTCAATAGGCCGCAAAACAAGCTGGGATCCACCCTGTAACGCTTATCAAAGAACCTGAGGCGGCCGCATTATATACTGTGAAGACGCTAGATTTCTCCATTAAAAAGGGTGATGCGTTTGTAGTTTGCGATGCTGGAGGCGGCACAGTCGACCTTATCTCATACGAGGTGCACCAGGTCGTACCGAATCTGCAAGTGAAAGAACTAGTTCCAGGGACGGGTAAGTTCCACCTACAATGTCAGTCTTCATGGACAGCGGCTCATGTTGCTACAGGAGGAATGGCTGGGTCTATGGGTCTGAATCAGCGTTTTGCTCAAGCAGTGCAAAACCTCATTGGCGATGAGCAGTGGTTCCCTTTGAAGAAGAGTAAGGCTTGGGCTATTGCCCAGAGGCAGTTTGATCAGGAGGTCAAGAGAGCCTTCAGAGGCGATCCTGACGAAGAATATTTTGTCAACTTCCCCATGGCTGCTCTTGAAGACGATCCACAAAACGGCCTGGTATCCAACACCTGGAGGATGACGGGGCAAGTAGTATCTCGTATCTTATGATAGCGGATGCTCGCTAACCTTGATGACAATCGGTAGGACGGATCTAGCTCGGATTTTTGATCCCCTTATAGAAGACGTTTTGAGGCTGATAGAGTTCCAAGTGCAAGCGTCAAAGCTCAAACGCCTTGGCACCGGTGTTTCAGTAAGTCAATGTGCTCATTTTGGAAGGTGAAGCTGACATCAGATAGGGAATCATGCTGGTTGGTGGTTTCGGCAGCAGTCGTTACCTCATGCTACGTGCCCGGAGCCGTTTCCCAGATATTCAAGTTCTTCAGCCACAAGACGCATGGGCTGCTATTGCGAAGCAAGTTCCCCACCGAGCGAAGGTGTAGAAGCCAGACCAGATAACTAATAATTCCGTCATAGAGGTGCCGTTCTCTCCAAACTTCCTGGCCAGGCTAGCGTGACAAGCACCTCGGCAACCAAACACTACGGGGTTATAGCGCATGCTCTGTACTGTTCAGTCGGAGACGAGGGGCAGCCAACGTTTATCCGCCGAGATGGATCTACTGGCGTGAGCAAAGTGAGTACTTTGACCTTTGCGCTCCGGCCGTTCCAAGCATTTAATCTAATATCTATGTCAAAGATGACTTGGTTTATAAATAAGGGAGAAGATATCCAGCGAGACCAAAAAATCAAGTTTCCCTTTTTCAGAACTTTGGATGAGGGATATACGAGTTCAGAGCTTATTTTCAATGATGGACTTTACGAATGCCAAGATCAGTATGCTTCAACCCAGACTATTTAATAGTGTTATCAGCGCTTACAGAAGAATTCAGTTTGGCCCCGATCTATCCATCGGCGGCCAGAAATATGCGGGTGAATTGCTCAGTACAATCTGACCTGACCAACATACCAAGATCCCATCTGATCCGAAAAAGAGGTTTGCTATATGTGCCTTTCCTTGACCGAACGTTTACTGACGCATTTCATGTTCCCATCAGACCCGCATGGAGTGACTTAGTATGTCAGCCACTCAAACGTTCTGCATTATAAACGTCATGGTTTTGCTAACGTATCCAAAGCTACGAGTTGCATTATGACCTTGTAGTCTCTCTTGAGTCTGCGATCATGACATTTTCCCTAGAAGTCGATGGTAAAACCATGGGATCTGTTAACGTCGACTACAAATAGACCCTCAAGTGTTTTAACGGTTTTTTTTTCTCCGAGTTTTTACCCGCGCTCTATTAAAATAAGATGCTGTAATACGCATACAGACAAAATGTTTAGAGGATTGCCGGCGGATGTTTTCTTTTTATTACAGAGCCCGATCGGAGGCCAAAGTCTGCGTCGAGGTGTTGGAATAAACAGGGCCTTTTTGGAAGGCCCTGTTGGAAGGCCCTGTTGGTCATAATGGTTGCTTTTTCTAGGGCGAGGGTTGAAGGGAGCCCTAGCAAGGGTTTCAGGGACTCTGGCTAGGTATAACAGGGGATAAATTTGTAGGGCCTTCAAAGGCTAGCAAAGGCAGGTAGACTAGCCCAATTGATTCGAGTTGCGCTAAAACGTCTATTATGACTTGGACATTTAAACGCACTCCTAACGTGAAATTACTCGGCGGACTCACTCTTAGTGTATATTTATATATACACAGACATATTCGTACATATTAAAATATACTTAATAATAAGTGAGTATATTTCAATATCAACTACAAATAAAAAAGCTTTAAATAGAGTAAATAATAGGTGCATAAGCGCACCTAATAAAAAGAGTGAGCCCGCCGAGCAATTGACCTCGTAACACAATGCCACAATCCTGACTGGACAGAAAACGAGTATATACCTAGTAGGTAACCATCAATCTATCATGACCTCATCAAATGCATGCCTAGCAGTATATAAATGTAACCTAAACGCCAAACCCATCCCTCATCAAACCACAAACCCAAATGTTCCGACTCACCCCATCCTCCTATCAGTCTCCGCAGAAGTCGCCTTCTCACCATTATCAGGACTCAAATAATCCGCATCCTCGGCAGCTTCATACTCGGCAATCAAATCAGCCACCACCTCCCTCGCCTCATCAAACTCGTTGAGGTTTTCTGCAAACGGAGCCGTCTTCTTGTACCCTTCCATGAAGGCGTTGCGCTTGCGCATGCCATCGTACTGCTTTACGATTCGTTTGAACAACTACCCAGACTGTTAATACATTATTTGCAAAAGTTTTGTGATTGGCGTGTGAAGAACATACAGTCGCAATACTAGTGTGGTTAGCAAGCATGAGCCCACTAACTCTGTGGCTCATAGGGATGTATGGACTCCTCTTGGTCAAGGCCACCTGGATACTCGCCGGACCCCAGGGGATAAACGTCGCTAGTCTACGCTCCCGAATACGCAAAAGACTCTTGTGGACGTCTGTGGGGTCTACTTCGCCCTGAATCACGTTCAGGATGGAAATGTAGCAGCTCTTCTTGCCGGGGACGGTAGAGACCATGCGATTCTTGGGCTGGAGGAGTCGGCGCATGACGTCGAGGACCGTGGTTTTTCGCACAGTCTTGGCCTGTTCGACTTGGTCACCTGTGAAGGGGGTGTATGCCGTCATGAGGAAGTGGCATCTAGGAGTGGGGATGAGAGACGCAAGGATGCTGACCAGGTCGTTGTGCATGTAGCCTGGGTATCGGAGAGTCGTGGTGCTGGCCGACATGACGGTGGCGACCTGTAAACGTTAGTAACAGCTTTCTCCCATGGTAATGTTCCATTTCATTTGACCCTCTCAGACCACTGCCCAAGGCCAAAAGCAGAATCGAACATCTACCCTCAACAGAAACAAAATAAAAGCATACCAACTGATTTGTCTGCCCAAAACTCGGCTCCTGAACATGCAGTCTGTCAGCCGCAATATGCGACAATGCTCCATTATCCAGCACCACCACGGAATCCGCATTCTGCGTCAGTCTCCTCATCGAAAGGATACTGTTGTACGGATGCACCACCACGTCGCCCGAGTTCGTAGTATCCGGGAACACGGAATACGTCTGGATAATCTTCTTGGGAAAGCGGTCGTTCAGCCGCTCCAGGAGGAAGCTGCCCAGGCCGGAGCCCGTACCGCCCGCAATGGAGTGCAGCATCATGAAGCCCTCGAGAGAATCGCTGCCGTCGGCCTCGCGGTCAATCATCTCCATGATGTCCTCGCAGACGGCCTCGCCAGACTGGTAGCCGTCGCCCCAGTTGTTGGCGGCGCCCATGCCGTTTTTGCCGACATAGAAGTTTTCGGGGTTGTAGATGTTTTTGTAGGGGCCAGTTTGGATGCCGTTGATTACCTGCACTTGTCAGTTTGAACTCGTTGTTTTGGTCCTCGCTGCGCTCGCTGATCGGGGAGGAGACGGGCAGATTTGAAGAGCAACTCCTCGCTGCGCTCGCGGGTCAGGCAGGGTTTATGTGTAGATTCGAACGGCTCCTCGCTTCGTCCATATCTGTACGGAAGTGTAACTCCTCGCTACGCTCGTGTAGATAGAAACATGGGCATTTGAATATCTCCCAGACAAACCCGCCTCACCGCAGCCAAACCCCCCCCCCCAGCCAAAG